GTTCAGAAGAACAGCATTTATTTGAAATAGAAATCTTTTGTAACATTATAAATGTCTTTACTGGCACTTTTTGATTAATTTAAAGTGTCCTTGATGAATAAAAGCAGTATAAGTTTAGTATCTTTGAGATACTATTATAGTTTTGAATAACATTTTTAAATTAATAATTAGTTTTTAGTTTGAAATTTCAGTTTTTATATTCATTTTAGTTTTTTGTGTTTTTGAAATTTTTATTTTTATTAATGTATGTTTAATTAATATATTAATTATTATTAATGTATCAGGTTAAACTAAATTAATAGTAGAAATGTTGCCTTGGCAACTAGCTAAAATAAAGCAAGTTTTTAAAATATTTTATTTTAGTATGTTTAGTATATTTCAGTTGAAGTTTATTTTATATTTCGAGTCAATACATTTTTTTATGGTAGCTGAAATAAAATAAGTTTATGTTTTATTTTAGTATATTTAACATATTTATATAATATTTGTATTTATTTTATTTTATTTCAATTAATGAAAATGTTTCTTTGAATGGTTTTTATGATCGCTGAAATAAAATAAGCTTTCTAAAATATCTTATTTTAGTTTATTTAGTGTATTTTAGCTAAAGTTTATTTTATTTCAAGAAATGAAACTTTTTTTGAGGATTAACTATAATAACCCTGAATAAAAATACAAATTTTCAAAAAAACAAAAATAAACTTTTGAACAATATATCTTCTAAAAGTGCATTTTTTATGTGTTTAGTGGTACGTCAGCATATAGATGAACTCAAAATGTTGGATGAGGGGTAACAGAACTCCCACTGTGATTTCATGCGGTCTATAAAGCTGACCGACGTGACAAAAGCACAGAAGTGAGTGGACATGCAGAGCTTTACCTGGATAGTAGGAGCTTGGCACGGCGGTGCTCAGGGTGTTAGTCTTCAGGGTAAACGACGACGGCGAGGAGACAGCTTTCAGAAGAAGAAGTAAGCAAATAAAGAGCACATCTGGATTCTTAAAACACCAACAACCATTTAAATGTGACTTACATTTCTATATGCATCAAACGTGTCACCGTACACTTACTAAAATGAGCTTTATTTGTATTTTGATGTCATTTTAACCTTAAAAACTTCTCTTCTCTGCATCGGTGTTACTTTAGTATACTATTGATGTACCGTTACGCCATGTACTATTGCAGCGTCTGCTAACATTTGATTTTATTTTCTGTTTTTCTGTTTTCATTTTAATTGCAGTTAAAGTTTTTGTCATGTTTTTAGAATATTTAATTGTAGTATACCACTATTAAGCTTTTAAGCTTTTGTAAATATTTTGAATTAGTTAATTTTTATATGTTCTGTGTCCACTTTAATTTTATTTAAAATTGTAGAAATTTAGATAATTTTAAATAATTTTTAAAAATAAAATTTAAATAATTTTTAGAAACATTTTGTCTTTTTAAAAAAAAAATATGTCTGTCTTTATATTCCTAAAATATGTCCAATATGTCTTTATTTTTATATTTTCAAAAAATTTTAATGTTAGTAAAAATTTAGCAATTTTGTTATGTTTGTCATTTTTATTCATTTTTTAAATGTCTATATATTTTTTATTACGTTTTAGTTTTATATTTTTTAGTATACTACTAATATGCTATTAAAGTTTTTATTAATTTTTTCTTAATTAATTTGACATTTTTAACTTTAATTTTAAGGTTTTAGTAATTTTGTTCTGTATTTCTGTAATTTTTTAATTTATTTTATTTTTTATATATATCTATACAGTTTTTATTAAGTTTTATTTTATATTTTTTAGTATACTACTAATATGCTATTAAAGTTTTTATTCATATTTTTAATTTTATTTTTTTAATTTAAATTTTAAGGTTTTAGTAATTTTGTTCTGTATTTCTGTCATTTTTATTTATTTGTTTTTTTTCTATATATCTATACAGTTT